TATTATGTGTCCTACATCTCACACTGGGAGGTTACTGGAATGAGTAGGACCATATATATGCCATTAGCGTTTTATCTTAAGTATGTTAGGATTTTCAAATATATATATATATAAGCTTTGAGTAGTTATCTCTACCAAATAAAATATTCAGGCCGGGCACGGTGGCTCATGCCTGTAATCCCGGCACTTTGGGAGGTCAAGGCTGGCAGATCATGAGGGTCAGGGAGATCAAACCATCCTGGCCTAACATGGTGAAATCCTGTCTTACCAAAATACAAAAAATAGCCAGGCGTGGTGGCAGGTGCCTGCAGTCCCAGGCTACTCAGAAAGGCTGAGGCAGAAGAATGGCCTGAACCGGGGAGGGAGCTTGCAGTGAGCCAAGATCGCACCACTGCACTCCAGCCCTGGGCGAGGAAGAGCGAGACTCCATCTCAAAAAAAAAAAAAAAAAAAGTTCAATTCATTTCCCTTTTAGTTCAAGTGGAAATTCATTTGCAATAGGATCATCATGGACTTTGAGGTTTTTTTGTTGTTTTTGTATTTTTTTTTTTTGAGACAGGGTTTTTATCTGTCACCCAGGCTGAATGAAGCCACAGTGACTCAATTTTTTGATACTCACTGTCACCTCTGCTCCAGGTTCAAGGGATCCTCCCATCTCAGCCTCCTGAGTAGCTGGGAACTACACCCAGCTAAAATTACCACACCGGCTAATTTTTTTTTTTTTTTTCTGTAGAGACAGGGTTTCACCACGTTGCCACACGCTAGTCTCAAACTCCTAGGCCTCAATGCAAATCCACCTGCCTCAGCCTCCCAAAGTGCTGGGATTACAGGCATGAGCCACAATGCCTGGCCTCTTTTAAATTTCAAAATACTCTGGCCAGGCGCGGTGGTTCATGCCTGTAATCCCAGCACTTTGGGAGGCCGATGTAGGCGGATCATGAGGTCAAGCGATCAAGACCATCCTGGCTAACATGGTGAAACCCCATCTCTACTAAAAATACAAAAAAATTAGCTGGGCGTAGTGGCAGGAACCTGTAGTCCCAGCTACTCAAGAGGCTGAGGCAGGAGAATGGCGTGAACCCAGGAGGCGGAGGTTGCAGTGAGCCAAGATCGTGCCACTGCACTCCAGCCTGGGCGACAGAACAAGACTCCGTTTCAAAAAAAAAAAACATTTTTCAAAGTACTCTATGACATGCACATACAAAAACCAATCTAAAAATGAAAAATATACCTGAGAATGTAAATACATCCATCTCTTATCTTGAGGTTCTCTTGCCTAAAAGAAACAAATATTCTGTTTGGTTCCAGAATTTTCTTTCTTTCTTTTTAGAGATGGAGTCTTACTCTGTTGCCCAGGCTGGACTGCAGTGCACAATCTTGGTTCACCGTAACCTCCCCAGCAACCCAGGGTTCAAGCGATTCTCCTGCCTCAGCCTCCTAAGTAGCTGGGATTACAGGCGCCTACCAAAAATTACATGTCTGGTTAATTTTTATATGTTTAGTAGAGACAGGGTTTCACCAAGTTGGCCAGGCTGCTCTCGAACTTCTGACCTCAAGTGATCCCCCTGCCTCGGCCTCCCAAAGTGCTGAAATTAGAGGCGTGAGCCACCACACCCAGCCCGGTTTCAGAATTGTCTTGCCTTAGTTGCATCATACCTTTCAATCGATTTACATTTTCAAACCCAAGAAACAAAATTTAACACACTTACATATGGAATAACATTAAAAAGTGTTAACAGAAACTAGAAATTCAGCTGCTGTAATAGTCAGCAAATAAAGGAATCCAAAGGAAAAAAAAACACTAGCCTGGACAACAGTGAGGATCTACAAAAAATTTACAAATTAGCCATGTGTGACAGTGCACACCTGTAGTCCTAGGTACTTGAGAAGCTGAGGTAGGAGGATTGTTTGAGCCAACAAAGGTGTTCGAGGTTACAGTTAGCTATGATCACACCACTGCACTCTAGTCTGGGTGACAGAGCAAGATTCTGACCAAAAAAAAAAAAAAAAAAAAAGAAAAAAAAGAAAAGAAAAGAAAAGAAAAAAGAAAAGGAAGGAAAACCACACCTGTAATCCCAGCACTTTGGGAGGCCGAGGTGGGAGGACTGTTTGAGGCCAGCAGTTTGGGATCAGCCTGGCCAACAAAGTGAGAACCCATCTCTAAAACACACACACACACACACACACACACACACTCACTCTCTCTCTCTCTCTCTCCTCTTCTCCCTCTCTCTCTCAAGTCAGCTCAGACTAGCAGCCTGCTTCCCCACAATTCAGAAGGAAAACCCACACTCAGAAAGCTAAACACATACACAAGCTTGGGGCCCACATTCTTGCTGTTGGGCAACAACCCTTAGTGTGAGACAGTCCTTGGTGACAGAGGGCAGGGGCACCTGAGGAGCCAAAGGAATGAACTCTGGGAGCTCCACACACTCCCTCACCCCAGGTGACAGTGAAATCGCCCCTTCAATTGTCGTGAGGAAACTCTCAACTGGACTGAGATTAAGGTTCTGACCCAAATGAACTCCCCAATTCATTTATCCTGTGTCCAGGAGACAGATCTCCTGGCCTTTACAGACTTTCTCACTATAGAAAAATTACACTGAGTGCACCTACACAACAGATGCAAAACTCAAACCTAATGTCTAAAAATAGGCTCAAGGAAACCACAAGTATGCCCTAAGGAAGAGCATCACTCAATTCAGCCAATCCCCTAATGTGCATTCAGACCCCCCGTTTTCCAGTGCTCAGCAGCTTCTCTCAGTATAAAGGGCTCCTTTAGGCCAGGCGTGGTGGCTCACGCCTGTAATCCCAGCACTTTAGGAGGCCGAGGTGTGTGGATCACCAAGTCAAGAAATCGAGACCATCCTGGCCAACGTAGTGAAATCCCATCTCTACTAAAAATACAAAAAAAAATTAGCCGGGTGTCGTGGCGGGCGCCTGTAGTCCCAGCTACTTGGGAGGCTGAGGCAGGAGAATCTCTTGAACCCATGAGGCAGAGGTTGCAGTGACCCGAGATTGCGCCACTGCACTCCAGCCTGGCGACAGAGCGAGACTCCATCTCAAAAAAACAAAAAACAAAAACAAAGGGCACCTTCCACAGTAGGTATGAGCAGATAGGACACCTGCAGGGGAGGCTCCCTAGGAAGAAACAACTGGGCCTTCAATTACATCCCGTGGCAGACCCAAGGGTTGGCCTTAGAGCTTGGAGTCACTGACCTCAGTCCTCCAGTCCTCTTTGCTCTCCAGTCAAGTGACCTGCACCACTACTGATATTTAAATGAGACAAACCCAGTGTTTGAAGAAATCAAAGGGGAGGCTGAGGCAGGTGGATGACATGAGCCCAGAATGGAATTCCATGTGAAATCACCCAAAAGGAAAGAACAGACCTGAGGAACTTACTACACATGCTCAGAAGAAAAAAAGAGAAACAAAAATTTTTAATAAATGCAATATGATACTGGGATATTTTATTATTATTATTATTATTTGCTGTTTTTGAGACAAGGTGTGAGACCTTGCTCAGCCTGGAGTGCGGTGGCACAATCAAGGCTCAAGGCAGCCTCAACCCCCCCGACTCAAGCAAACCTCCTGCCTCAGCCTCTCAAGTAGCTGGGGCTACAAGTGCAGGTCATTACGCACAGCTATTTTTTTTTTTTTTTCCTACTAGAGATGAGGTCTCTCTATGTCATCTAGGCTGGTCTTGAACTCCTGAGCTCAAGTGATCCTGACTCAGTCTCCCAAAGTGCTAGGATTACAGGCGTGAGCCACCGCTCCCGGCTTGGTATTTTACTATTTTCTGAAATCTATCTCTTTCCTTCCCCTTTGGAAATATTTTACATCCACTCTAAATGTTTATTTTACTTTTTTATTTTTTATTTTTTTGAGACAGAGTCTCACTCTGTCGCCCAGACTGTAGTGCAGTGGCGCAATCTCAGTTCAACTGCAACCTCTGCCTCCTGGGTTCAAGCTATTCTCCTGCCTCAGCCTCCTGAGTAGCCAGGATTACAGACGTCCACCACCATGCCCGGCTAATTTTTTGTATTTTTTAGTAGAGACAGAGTTTCGCCATGTTGGCTAGGCTATAGGTCTCCTAATTACAAATATTTTACATTTTTCGAGAATCAATTGAGTAAATCTTTTCCAGGTGAAAAGCCCAGGGAGGGGAAGTGCCGCGCTGGAAAGGACAGATTGCCCAGAAAAGTTTCCAAAAAGGAGACTCAACCCAAAGGAGTTCCCATAGGATGTCAGGTCCCAGGATAGATACTGGCAAGAGAGGCACAAGCATTTTACACGAGGTAGCTTCAGGTCCTTCTCCCCTGTTTTCCTCTCATGTAAATACCCAAAGCATACATTACATCTTTTAAAAAGAACCATCCATTCGTCTGTACAAAAAGGATAATTAAAATACTGCGTCTGGTTGAAATGCCCCACAGAAGACAGTTAATAACGACGTTGTGAACTGGAGAGAAGACATCGGCATTTGAAAGGAATCTAGAAATTTAGGGATTTATTCCCAGCTCTGGGAAGAACCAGGCTGGAAGGCAGGGTCGTGGATTTGAGATCTGGCTTCCCATACACTTGGAAACCTTGAGAAACGAGTCCTCCCTTGGGAAGAAAAGAGGGCCTGAGGACCCTACACAACACTGCTCCTCAAACGCACGAACCCCACGACCCAGGCAGGATTCCCCCCATGACCCTCCCGTGCCCCCGCACAATCTGGGGAGACGGGGACTGCAGGCTCGGAGCTGCCCAGAGAGGGCTCCAGGGCTGGGGCCGCAGTCGCCGCGCAGGGACTGGACAGGACGCACGGGGTCCCGGCTGCTGGCCCAGCCCCACCCTGCGGCCAAAGAGACCGAGGGCCGAGCTGCGCCAGGGGGACTCGGGTCCACAGACCCGGGAGACAACGGCGGGGAGGCCTGGGTCCCACCACAGCCAGATCCGGCCGGTTCCAACCCGCCCCTCTCCCCCATCTCAAGACGCTCAGCCCCGCACACTCACCATTTCCCAGACTCTGGGATGTCCTGGTGTCCTGTCTACTTCTCCCGCGGCCAGCACAGCTCCCACCACCACCCGAGAGGCCCTTTTGGGGTGAGGAGACCCCATAGCGGAGCGCAGCGGCTCGTAGAGACGTCCTCGCCGTTTGCGCAGCGTCCCCTCCGCCCGCCTTCCCTGCGGCGCCCCTGATTGGACGTTGCACTCTTGGACCTGCCTTTCTTGCCTGAGTGACAGCTGGTCGGGAAGTCGCGTCTCTAAGCAACCTGCATTCGTCTGGGGTCAGGAATCTGTTCCCCTGCCACGGATATTTGCATCTAAGCAGAATTTGTTAACGTACCCGGGGTCGGGCGCTGGTGTCTGCCTGCAGCTCCTTCTGAGCGCGGAGACACAAGCGTGCACAGCGCAGAAAATTCCAGGCTCAGTTTAAAGAGAGGCTCTTTGTCCACAGCAAAAAGGGCGCCCGAGCCATGCCAGACTGGAGCGGGAGGGTCAGATGCTCCCAGGCTTAGCATAAGGCTTCGAGGTCATTCATGGGTTTCTAACTCTTGTTTACAAATACAGACACTTAGAGTGACCTCATCATACCTAACAAAGAGTCTGACTACGTTTTAATCTTTGACAACTGACAGGGTTTAGGGCATCACCCATCCCTTCCCTCCCCCGCCACACTTTGCTCTAGTGGGAAGTTTGGACCCCACAGCCTTAGTCTGAGAGAAGGAGTTCCTTTTTTTTTTTTTTTTTCTGGTAGAGATGGCGGTGCGGGGGGGGTCTCACTATGTTGCACAGGCTAGTCTCAAACTCCTGGGCTCAGGCGATACTCCTTGGCTTCCCAAAGTGAAGGGATTACAGGCGTGAACCACCATGCCCGGTGAGGAATTCTTTTCAGTTCATCCCAAAGCCATGAGATGTGTTCAGTAAAACTGAACACTGGAAGGATATTTATTTCAGACCAGTTTTTGACTGTGTCCCTAGAGAACTTTTGTGGGTCCTTTATGTTTGGTTTGTGGTTGTTTTTGAGAAAGGGCCCCTTTGTCCCTCAGGCTGGAATGCAGTGGTGCAATCAGAGCTCACTGCAGCCTCGACCTTCTGGGTTTAAGCAATCCTCCCACCTCAGCCACCTGAGTAGCTGGAACCTCAGGCGCGTGCCACCATGCTTGACTAATTTCTTTCTTTTTATTTTTATTTTGTAGAAACAGGGTCTCGGCCGGGCGCGGTGGCTCAAGCCTGTAATCCCAGCACTTTGGGAGGCCGAGACGGGCGGATCACGAGGTCAGGAGATCGAGACCATCCTGGCTAACACAGTGAAACCCCGTCTCTACTAAAAAATACAAAAAAAAAACTAGCTGGGTGAGGTGGCGGGCGCCTGTAGTCCCAGCTACAAGGGAGGTTGAGGCAGGAGAATGGCATAAACCTGGGAGGCGGAGCTTGCAGTGAGCTGAGATCTGGCCACTGCACTCCAGCCCAGGCGCCAGAGCAAGACTCCGTCTCAAAAAAAAAAAAGAAACAGGGTCTCACTATTTTGCCCAGGCTGATCTTGAACTCCTGGGCTCAAGTGATCTGCTGTCCTCAGCCTCCCAAAGTGTTAGGATTACAGGCGTGAAGCACTGCACCCAGCCCCTAGAGAACTTTGAAATGTAAATAGCTATGATATCCATAAGGCAATTAATTCCTATTTTGACTGAGATTATTAAAAAAAAACATAAAAGGTTATGTAAAGTTGGCATGTACCAGGAAACTCAATATACTTAAGATACTGGATCAAAACTACTAATGGGCTGAGCATGATGGCTCACACCTGTAGTTCCAGCACTTTAAGAAACTAAGGTGGGAGGGCTGCTTGAGCCCAGGAGTTTGAGACCAGCCTGGGCAACATAGTCAGAACCCCCCCATCTCTAAGAAAATTTTTAAAAATTAGCAGGGCATGGTGGTGCACACCTGTAGTCCCAGCTACTGGGGAGGCTGAGGCCCGAGGATTGTTTGAACCCAGGAGGCCAAGGCTACAGTGAACTGTGATCCTGCATTCCAGCCTGGGTGACAGAGTGAGACCCTGTCGGAAGGAAGGAGGGAGGGAAGGAGGGAAGGAGAGAAGGAGGGAAGGAAGGAAGGAAGGAAGGAAGGAAGGAAGGAAGGAAGGAAGGAAGGAAGGAAGGGAAAAAAAAGGAAACCCCTGTAGCCTTTGACTATCACTGTCCTAAATTCTCATCTTCCTCCTCCAAGCCTCTGTCCTAAGCAACCATTAATTTACTTTGGGTTGCTATATAGCTTTCCCATTCTAGACTTGGAATGGAATCATATACTATGTGTTCTTTGTGATTAACTTCATTCACTTAGCATAACTGTTTCAAGGGACATTTACATTGAAGTTTGTATCAATACTTCATTTGTTGTTTACAGTGAAACAATATTTCATTGTATGGATATAGCTCATTTTGTTTATCCATTCATCCATTAATAGGTATTTGGTTTGTTTCCACCTTTTAGCTGTTATTAATAAGGTTGCTATAAACATCCATTGTACAAGTTTTTCTGTAGACATAGGATTTCATTTCTCTTGGGAATACACTTAGGCGTGGAATCGATGGATTACATGGTAATTCTATCTTTAATAGTTGAAGAGCTGCCAGACTCTTCTCCTCTCCTTTGGGAAATTCTATTACACACATATTGGTGAACTAAATAGTGTTCTGCATATTTCTCAGGCTCTGTTCATTTTTCTGTTTTTTGTTTTTGTTTTTAAGATGTAGTCCTGGGCTGTGCATAGTGGCTCACACCTGTAATCCTAGCACTTTGGGAGGCCAAGGCGGGCAGATCACAAGGTCAGGAGATCGAGACCATCCTGGCTAACATGGTGAAACTCCATCTCTACCGAAAATACAAAAAATTAGCCGGGCGTGGTGGCGAGCGCCTGTAGTCCCAGCTACTCGGGAGGCTGAGGCAAGAGAATGGCATGAACCCGGGAGGCGGAGTGTGCAGTGAGCCGAGATCGTGCCACTGCACTCCAGCCTGGGCAACAGAGCGAGACTTGGTCTCAAAAAAAAAAAAAGATGTAGTCCTGTTATGTTACCCAGGCCGGACTGCTTCAGTCTCCCAAGTAAGTGGGTCTACAGGTGTGCACTAGCATGCCCAGTTTAAAGAAATAATTTCTTAAATCAGTGTTTGGCATTTTGCAGATCCCCTCTCCCTCCCCCAAGAAAATCTTTTTTTTTTTTTTGAGACGGAGTTTCACTCTTGTTACCCAGGCTGGAGTGCAATGGCACGGTCTCGGCTCACTGCAACTTCCGCCTCCCAAGTACAAGTGATTCTCCTGGCTCAGCTTCCCAAGTAGCTGGGATTACCGGCACCTGCCACCATGCCCGGCTAATTTTTTTGTATTCTTAATAAAGATGGGGTTTCACCATGTTGGCCAGGCTGGACTTGAACTCCTGACCTCAGGTGACCCACCTGCCTCAGCCTCCCAAAGTGCTGGGTTTGCAAGCATGAGCCACCATGCCTGGCCCAAAAAATCTTATTCTCCAGCTGTCTCCCGAAAACCAGTAGGCCTACAGTCTACACTATACCTTCGTTAAATTCCTAGATCTCTTCCCAGTTGATTTTCACTTCTTTTTTGAGACAGACTCTCACCCTGTTGCCCAAGCTGAAGTGCAGTGGCAAAATCTTGGCTCACTGCAACCTCCGCCTCCTGGGTTCAAGCGATTCTCCTGCCTCAGCCTCCTGAGTAGCTGAGACTACAGGTTCCCGTCACTGCTCTGGCTAATTTTTGTATTTTTAGTAGAGACCAGGTTTCACCATGTTGGCCAGGCTGGTCTTGAACTACTGACCATACGTGATCTGCCCGCCTCAGCCAAGGTGGAACCAACCCAATTGTCCATCAAGGAATGAATGAATCAACTAAATGTGGCCTATCCATACAATGGAATATACACACACACACACACACGCAGACACACACACACACACAGATATGATTTGCAAAATTTTCTTCCATATATATACTGATCCAAAATCAATTTCCTTCCAATGTAAAGTATACATGTGGTTGGTTTGAGAAGAGCCCAGTGCCCAGGCTAGGGTTGTAGGGTTCAAACTCCGCATCAAAGCCAAGTGCTCAGGTGTTATAGTGATTCCTTTTCTAAAGTGCCTCGATGAGTAGACGTGGGAAAGGGATGTGTGGAAGCCTCAAGACCATCAACAGTAAAAGTTAAAATGGATAGGATGAGGTCATTTTAAGTGTCTGTGTTTGTAAACAAGGGCCATAGTTCTTTTTGTTTCGCTTTTTTGAAAATAAAAAAAAACACTGCCTGGTTTCTCAAAGAAGGTCACTACATAATGATCAACAAGTCAATTCAGCAAGAGCATATAAAAGTTGTAAATATATTTGCACCCAACACTGGAGCACCCAGATATAGAAGTAGAGAATACTTCCAAACTCAATCTACAAGGCCGCTATTACCCTGATGCCAAAACCAGACAAAGACACACCAAAAAAAGAAAACTATAGGCCAATATCACTGATGAATGTTGATGCAAAAATCCTCAACAAAATGCTAGCAAACTGAATTCAACAACACATTAAAAATACAATGTATCGTGACCAAGTGGGATTTATCGCAGGGTGCAGGGTTGGTTCAACATATGCAAATCAATTAATGTGAGACATCGTACCAACAGAATGAAGGACAAAGACCATACTATCATTTCAATGGATGCTCAAAAAGCATTTGATAAAATTCAACATCTCTTCATGATAAAAACCCTCAAAAAACTGAGTATAGAAGGAACATGCCTCAACATAATAAAACCCATATGTGGGCCAGGTGTGGTGGTTCATGTCTGTCATCCCAGCACTTTGGGAGGCCGAGGTGGGTGGATCATTTGAGGTCTGGAGTTCGAGACTATCCTGGCTAACATGGTGAAATGCTGTCTCTACTAAAAATACAAAAAATTAGCGGGGTGTGGTGACGGGCGCCTGTAGTCCCAGCTACTCGGGAGGTTGAGGCAGGAGAATGGTGTGAACCCAGGAGGTGGAGCTTGCAGTAGCTGAGATCGCGCCACTGCACTCCAGCCTGGGAAACAGAGCAAGACTCTGTCTCAAAAAAAAAAAACACCATATATGACAGACCCATAGCTAGTATCATACTGGATAGGCAAAAACTGAAAGCCTTTCCTCTAAGATCAAGAACACAACAAGGATGCCCACTTTGCCACTGTTATTCAACATAGTACTAGCTGAAGCAATCAGACAAAAGAAAGAAATAAAGGGCATCCAAATGGGAAAGGAAGAAAGCAAATTATCCTTGTTTGCAAATGATATAATCCTATATCTGGAACAAACTAAAGACTCCACCAACCAGCACTTTGGGAGGCCAAGGCGGGCGGATCACAAGGTCAGGAGTTTGAGACCAGCCTGGCCAATATGGTGAAACCTCATCTCTACTAAAAATACAAAACTTAGCTGGGCATGGTGACGTGCACCTGTACTCCCAGCTACTCACGAGGCTGAGGCAGAAGAATTGCTTGAACCCAGGAGGCGGGGTTGCAGTGAGCCGAGATCGTACCACTGCACTCCAGCCTGGGCGACAGAGACTCTGTCTCAAAAAATAAAAATAAAAAAGACTCCACCAAAAAACTATTAGAACTGATAACTCAGTAAAGTTCCAGGATACAAAACCAACATACAAAAATCAGTAGCATTTCTATATGCCAACAGCAAACAATTTTAAAAAGAAGTCATTAAAGTAATCCCATTTATAATAGCTACAAATAAAATTAAATACCTAGGAATTAACTTACCCAAAGAAGTGAAAGATACCTACAATGAAAGCTATAAGACATTGATGCAAGAAATTGAAGAGGACACAAAAAATGAAAAGATACTCATGTTCATGCATTGGAAGAATCACTATTGTTAAAATGTCCACACTAACTAAAGCAATCTAGAGATTTAATGCAATCCCAATCAAAATACCAACGACGCTCTTCACAGAAATAGAAAAAACCATCCTAAGATGTATGTGGAACCAAAGAAGACCCAGAATAGCCAAGCTATCCTAAGCAAAAAGTACAAAACTGAAGGAATCATAT